TTTGTAAATTTTTGGACTATTCGTCTGTAATGGTTACTGTAAAAATAAGAATTGAGTTGACATAAAAAAAGTTGCAGCAATAACTTTCAGATCAGTGCTACTCTTTATATGGTGTTAACTTTTGTTACCTGAGAAATGAAGGCCTGCTAGAGTAATTCAGTAGTCACTGGGACTCTATCCTGAAAAGAATATAAGCTGTTTCCTTTTACTTTTAAAAGAATTAGTCTTAAAAATGTCAGAGGTTTTTATTCTGATTCTAGTATACTTTCACAGATCTTGATGCAGACTAGGTTTTAAGATTTTGTTTTAGTGAGTATAATACTTTTTTAAAACTTTTGTAGTATAAGTTAAAGCCTTTCCATATAGGTGGTTTTTTTTTTCTTACGGAGGTAAGGTTTATTATAGCTCAAGTTTTTCTTAAGACTGTAGGAGTTATGTAACATACATAATTTGCTATTGTGAGTCACTGAAACAGCTGTAGAAATCCCTATTTTATAGTTCAGTAAATGTAGAAATTTTTTCTTTTATAATTTCTTTTAACAAGCAATGTATATATAGAAGAATATACAGCAGAACTAAGTGTCTTTTTCATGCTACTTCCCTAAATAACCAGTTTTCCCCAGGGGGGAAAAAACACTAAAATAAAGTTGGTTTTTATGTTTTAATTATCATTTGCCTTGCTACATATGCCAGGCAAATGCTCTAAGATTAAGTCCCTATGGCTCCTTAAGTTTCTTAAAGTATTTACATTAAAAAGAAAAAGAAATAGCATTGAGACAAAGCCTGCAACTGTGACTTGCAAGCTAACTCCTAAGTTAGCTTATACTCATGCTTTTGACATTAAGATTTCTGCAACCAAAAGTATTCTTTATTAAAGTATAAAGCTGCAGGTGCTAGAACATTATGTAATTCACAAATTCCACAGATTTCTACCACCAAAAATGTCAGTATTCCTACTTTCATACTATAGTGCACCTCTCTCTCTCTTAACGGTCCATACTCTTTTTTTAAAAAGTACGTACTTCCATAACTCTGCCTAATAAATCTGTGCCTCTGTTAAAAAAAAAAAAAGCTGCATGTGTTTATTAAAGACTATTGTGCAATATTATGTTCTTAGAAAATGTATTCACACACTTCCTTGATTTGAAACGATCTCAAATACTGTATTTTCCAGAGCTCTAGGGCACTAAGGTTTCTTTTAGGGTTCATTTTGTCATTGTTATTGCCTGAGGATTTCTGAATTTCTGAGTGAAAATGCTGCACTGGGACTTGATTGCTGGGTAGGGTGGTTGACTAATCATGCTCACTGGCAGCTTTATTTACAAAACAGGAAGTTGAAATATCCTTCAGCAGTTTTTGAAGATAGATTAACTGAAACCAGGCCGGGGATTTAGCTCAGTGGTTTCGCCACCTGCCTCACAAGCGCAAGGACCCGAGTCCAAGTTTGATCCCCAGTACCAAAAAAAAAAAAAAAAGATTAACTGAAACCATTAATAGTGTACTGTTAATGAAAGGTGTAGTGAACAGAGGAAATAATAGATATTAGAGATTTTTGAAATGAATGTCCTTTGGGAATAAAGGAGTAAGACTTTTCAGGTATCTAATTGAAATTGTGGCTTGGAGAACTTTTTTTTTTTTTTTTGATATCAGGGATCGAACTCGGGTCCTTGCGCTTGCGCAGCAGGTGGCGAAACCAATGAGCTAAATCCCCAGCCCTGGAGAACATTTTAATCATCCAAAAATTGCCTTTGAAATGGAGGTTGCTGCAAAGTAGCTATATTGGCATCTTAGTTAACTTTTTTCATTGCTGAGACAACATACCCAACACCCACAAGTTAGAGGAGGAAAGATTTATTTAGCTCACAGTTTGTAGAGGTTTCCATCCATATTCAGCTGGTTGAAGGTATGGTGGCATGGCAGAGGGGCATCGCAGAGGAGATACAGTTAACTGCTGAGCAAGTGGGAGACAGCAAGCAGCAGGTGAAGCAGTGAATTTGCAAAAGCTGTGGAGCAGCAACCCTGCATCTTCCTCTTATCCCATCCAGCACTTTGGATGAGGCCACCCACACCCAGGGTGAGCCTTCCCATTATCAACACCCAGAACTAATTTAGAAATCTCATGCCATTAATCCCAGTTACACACCCTTAATCCACATTCACACATCTGAGACCCAGCCATCTCCTAACAGCCCCATCTATGAGGGCATGAGGCTTTGGGGAGACATGTAGATAGAAGCAGTAATAATAGGTATTAACAGGCAGTAAGAATTAATTAGTTGTTTCAAATTAGTTAGAATTGGCATGGCAATTAGACATTGAAACAGTTTTTGGAGAATTTCTATATAATTGTATTTGATAAAAAGTTGTTACCTAGAGAAATTTGTCTGATTTATTCCTTTTTGTAGCCTAATGCCAGAGAAAGCATATTGAGTTTTATCACTCAATTTTCATGGTATTAAAAAAGAACTATTTTAGAATCTACATTGCTGCTCTTTGAGGTGTTATAAGTGGTATAAGTAAAACTTCACCACTAACTTGAAAAACAAACTGTCCACTCCTGTCATTTAAACTAATTTGCTTACAAAATTATAATCTTAACAGCAACATTGGGCAGCTCTGGTTTCTAGGCTTACAGCATCACTACTAACTTTTACATTGTAAATGTTGGCTCTAGTCTTGAATCTGTTTAACCATCCGTGGGTGATAGTAAAAGATGCACCCTGAGCACCTCGTTTTTTCAAGTCTTCATAAAGATAATAATTATAAACATATGCACCAAACACTGCCATACCCAACTTTATATAACAGTACTGGACATAAGAAATCAGATAAACACCAACACAATTACAATGTGGCACCTCAGTACCCCACTGTGGGTGACAGGAGGTTGGTGTGGGAAGGCCCTGTGCTCCAAGCTGCCTGTCTCATGCCTTGGGTGCATGGCCTGGCTCCAGGGAGATCCCCAGCCATGGCCCCAGCCTGTCAGTGCTCAGCCTCTGTGGGAAACTGGGCCCCAGGAATTAATCAGCAGTGCTTCTTCCACCAGTACCTGAATATTTCCCCCATGATGCCAGGCTGATTACTGGGAAACATTGAGGAACACTCCAGGCTGTTTGTGGAAGGCTGTAAGGCAAGGGAAGCAGCCTTTGATGCAGATCTCCCCTGAGATGAACTTTGATGCCAAACCTTTCGCCCTTGCTCTGACTGCCACTGAGGCCAGTAGTCCTCTGGCCCACTGAGTCTGAGGTGATCAGATAGGGTGACAAGGAAGTCTGGTGAAAAGGCAAAGACAGGCCTGTGCTGACCTAGTTGGTCCTTAGGGAAAATGCAAGCTTAGAAGAGAATACTGCACTGCACAGTGAAACATGGAAGCAGTCAGCAAAAGAAATTAAGGGCATCTGAGACTGTTGGAAGCTGCTTCCAAAGAGGTCCTGGAACACTTGGGACATCCCTTTGTAACAGTTAGTCATCCTTTCTTCATCATTTGTGTGAACTCTTTCAACATTGTTTCACCATAAAGGATGGTTTTGCAAAGACAAAGTCTAAGAAAAATTTCCAGTGATAGAATCAGAGAAAGTAACCAAGATGACCAAAGACATGATGGAAATGCAGTTGTTAGGAATCCACTCGTGTCTGAGTTCTTAGCATTGGAAGGCTATTGAGAGAACCTAGAAATTTCAGAATTTGTGGTCATCTCATTGTAGCTGACAGCTCTTGTGTAAAATTAATTTCCATGTTTTCTAAGACTTTGGATATATAGTAAATACTCAAGAAAACATGTATTTATTGTGAGATAAATTTATTTTCAAGACCAGAAATTGGGTAAGTGTGGGAATAGATTTGTTTTTGTTAATCTTTAAACTTTTTATTTTAATACAGACCATGTTCACTGAAAGAGACCACCTTAAGATGGTGTTGAGCAGGCTTTGATTATATTCAATTGTCTTATCACAATTGGCTTATACTTATAATTTAGAACTGGTCTGAGGCTTAAGTGTACAGTTTAATGGCTGCAGCTGGAATGCAGAAAGAGAACACGTCCCACTGCCCATGGCCAAGACTAACCCAGGTCAGTGATGCCATGGCACCTATATTAGCTGATAGCATCTGCAGCTGCAGACCCCATGTTTCTTGTTCATCCTCTATAAAACATTAATATTAATATAAGGAATGAACAAGTTCCCATTAACCTAAGATTCACTTCTTGCAAGAATGCTTTGTTCTGTTCTTGCTAGGCCTCACTCACGTCAGGACCTCTGAGTTCACATCAGGACCTCTGATCATCACCCCACAT